TTGTTGTTAATTCCATTATCAGCAATTATTAATTGTTATTTATTCTTATTAACTATTATCAATCGTTATTATCATTATTGTTTATTTATTATCAATTAATTATCATTAATCACAATCGTCATTGATTAGTTGTTATCAGTGTCAATTAACTATTATCATCATTGTCTTTAATTATTTTTATTATGTATTAATATTAATATTGGCATTATTAATTATTCGTATTATGCTTATTTGTTATTATTACTAATTATTGTCACTAGTTACTAACTTACCAATTATTGTTAATTATTGTGCATTAATATGTATTATTAATTGTTTTGAAAAGTAGTTTTATCATTTAAAAAAATTTTGTGGCGACAGTGGGAATTAGGCAACGATTTCTGGAAAGATGTTTATCAAGGCAGATTCCTATTCCAGGTTGTTGAGCAGATTGAGAAAAGTCAAATACTGTTGAAACTTTTTAAAATTCAGGTTGAACTTTTTTTAGTGTTCGGTGAGAATTTTATGCCAAATCCATTTCCACTTGGTTGTTCGGTGCCGTTTTGTACTCATCATATTCTCCGTCCATTTCCAATTCAACAATCGAATCGAAATCTCCTTGAAACGAAGTGTGTTTCTTCAATCCCAACAACAACTGATAAAAATCTATTTGCTTTTATTTGCAAAGTATCGACATCTTCACCCGTCACCTATCACAATTTTAATAATGAAAGGTATCTCTGCAAATATCAATTTAATCATTCTTTGTTCAAATGAATATTTGTATTTCAAATGTGATTGTCATCTTGAACTTACATAATGTTCAGGTCATGTCACATACCAGTGCAAATAGCAATAACGAATGATAACATTCTGCATCGTCGGAGTTGCACAGTCACCATTCATTTTATGGATTCCAATCTTGTTCGAAAGCAGACGGTAGACTCGGAGAGTACAAATGTTTCAGAATTTCTACCGCAGAACATAATTTCATCACCAAATTCATATGTACGTTCCTCATTAGCCTTTCAGCCAGTGATTGTAGCCGATCGTTCACGTATGCATGCAACAGTAGCTTTTGGTTGTACGCAGATTTTTGATATCCGACTCACTGTCTATTGTCCGTCGACTTATGATATCAGTCGCTTTCAAGCCGTTGGCTTATTCGACGGTGACGGAACCGAAGTGCCTATACATGTACCTCCGACATATGTTACTGTGATTGATCGACGGGTTTGAGAATTTTTTAAAAAGAAACCATACTTCTATGTTTTAACTTGTTAATATTTGGCATATTTGATTGTAGCAGGTCTTGGCTACTCTAGCACTTTTGTGTTGTTTAATATTTTTCGTTTATCTAAGACAGTCATCGAATGCGGAAATAATTATGTATCTTGATGATGAAATACAATAACTTCAAACGTTTAGCACATTTTGATTAATTCTTTGTCCAGAAAATGACTAGATTAAATCACTTAATCTTGGATTTTTATTTTTATTCATCGGGGACAAGGAAAAGAGAAAAAGATTTATTCACTGCATAATAGATTTTGATATAGGCGTGTATATATTTTAAACTTTCGAAAATTGCCATTAGTTTTGGAAAATGAAATTTTAAGCAACTTTCCTAGTATGGAATAAAGATAAAAATTATTTTGTGAACGTTCTGTTAGACATTCGGGTTGCCATACATGATATTTTTTTTGATATGTTTGTAAGTGAGCAATCAGTTTAACAAAGATGGGTAATTCCGGTGTGATTGGAAAGAAAATAAGTTGCTCTTTTTTGACAAAATGCTTTTCCACGATATGCTTTGTGTTTTTTTAAATTACATTTATAAGTTACACTCTTTTCTATTGTAGAATTTTTTTATCCTTGTCTCTGAAAAAAATTTGAGAACTTGAAGGAATATCGGTTTGAAATTAAACAGATTCTTTCGTTTTGTTTTTTTATTTTGCTCTGTTTAAAAGACAAATATATGTGTATTACTTTTTTCGGCTACCATATTCCGCTCTTTTCGGTGCGCAATTTTCTGTATTTCTCTGAATTTCATGGATTTATGAAAATTATACATGAAAATGATTCTATAAAATCTTTTTCTTTTCTGGCTATCTATCGGAATACGAGTCTGTTCCACATTTATATTTAATGGATATAAATGTATTTTATCATGAACTCAATTACAGAACTTTCGAGAAGCAAAATATCAGTTTAGCTCCAAATATTATTTTCAGTATACTCTTAATTATCTTCCCAGTTGAGCGATCGTCATGGCATCTCAAACGCAAGGTATACAGCAGCTTCTAGCGGCAGAAAAACGGGCTGCAGAAAAGATCAATGAAGCGAGGAAACGCAAAGCTCAACGTCTGAAACAAGCAAAACAAGAAGCACAAGCTGAGATTGAGAAATATAGAATGGTGGGAACTATTTTTATTGTATTTTTTCTAGCTAGGTCTACTTTGATCTCTGTAGTTTTTTCAATAGCTGATATGACAAAATATTTTTAGACAGTCTTTTATTTTTTTCAGTTGATTGAATATGTAAGAATATTAAAATTGAATCCGGACAATTGACAATTTTTAAATTGCCTGGACTTAATTTTAATTCTCAACGATCTTAAAAGCAAACAGTATCTCCGTTTTTATAGGAACGAGAACGTCAGTTCAAGGAATATGAGCATAAATATCTTGGGAAAAAGGAAGATATAGAAATGAAAATCAAACAAGATACTGAGGATAACATTAAGCAGATGGAAGATTCTGTCGCAAAGAACAAGCAACAGGTTTGTTACTAGTTTTTCGACCCAGAAGAAATCATCCATAAAGTAAATGACTTGGTAATTTTAAGTCTGCATATCAAATTCTAATCCAAAAATAAGGTTTTATCAAGCATATTTGAAAAACAACGAAATTAGGTTGAGTCCTTCTGAAATCTGATAAGAGAAAGGTATGAACTGACTTTTGGCTTTTGGCAACTTTTGGCATTAGCTATCAGGATTGTATGTTCCAGGTCATTGTACGTTTACTACAGTTGGTCTGTGATATTCGACCGGAACTTCATGTGAATCTTCAAATCCAGAAGAAACTTCATGGAACCCATCTTTAGTAGTAGTATAGTTCTTCCACTCACTGCTTTTATTTCTTTCCACTGATATTTTCAGCCATTATCGAGATACAAAAAGCACATGAATTCACTTTCTAGAACTATTGATTAAATAGTTGTACCATTTATTCTTCCTATGTTCTTTTAAAATATGTTTCTTATGTGCCATTCGAGGCATGATATTGAATTCACTTCAAATAGAATAAAACTATTTCACATATTAATTTGAATGTTAGTGGGACTTTTCTAAGAACTTCACCGTTTTCCAGACACTCGAGAATAGTAGTGCAAGTCTTGAAAGATAGGATATGGAAATCAAGGAAAGACTACTTTTTCCTTCCAAAAGATTAATCTTGTTTTACGAAAAATAAAACTGTACGACTATGAATCATTTGTTGAAAGAATGTTTCATGTGATGTAGACATGTAGTACTTTTTATTAAGATAATGAAATATTACATTACATATTAAAATTGGTAGTTCATAATTATCTTTGTAATAGTTAATTCTTATATTTATTTTTTCATGGTTTTGATGTTATAATTCTAATAATTTTTTTTAAATAAATCTTTGGAATGATTTTTGTTCGCGTACAAAGTTATCAGTTTACATTCATGCATACTTTTCAAAAAACGTATGAGATCTTAGAATTCTACTTAACGGCGTGAATTTTGATTCAATACTGGATTAGATGAGATCAGATATGGTCTAAAGAAGTGAGGAATTTTGGTTTGGTGTACTAGTTTATAGTTAGTGAGGAGATCAATTTTGTTTACTGATAACTTCCAGATATTCGAAATGATTGAGATCACCGTGAACGACCGATTAGGAAAGAAAGTTCGAATCAAATGCAATCCTAACGATACAATTGGTGATTTAAAGAAACTTATCGCTGCACAGACCGGTACACGGTAAGTAAGTGAAAAGCAAACTGCCTAGTCTGTTCCGTGAGAGACGAACCATTTTAAAGCTTATTCCGCAGTACTATTATGCTGTTTTATAGGTATGAGAAAATAGTGCTAAAGAAGTGGTATACAATTTATAAGGACCATATAACACTGCAGGATTACGAAATACACGATGGTTTCAATTTTGAATTATACTATCAATGATGTCGATATTCCGTTTGTTATGATGAATGCATTTTTATTGTTTTTACTGTGTTTATGTTTCCATACTTGTAAAGTTGAATAAATTATTTCATGAGCAGCTGAAGTTTCGATCATTTAATAGATTTCCATCGACATATATCGTATGCTAATTATTAGCTTGACATCACAATATGTCATTTTGTAAGTTTTGGCATCCCACTGTGTCATTTTGTGTTCAATGCCGGAGTAGAAGTCATTTAATTTAATTCATTTCAATGCGATGTGAAAGATGCTAACTTGCGATTCAGTCTTTTTTGATAATTTGCTGATTTTAGAGTTGAGCGCACAAAAGTAGCATTGGAGTATATTCTCCTGATTAATTCCATCTGAAAATTAGCACATCTGTTTATGTGGAAATATGATGTCTTTCTTGTTCAAATATTAATAATAGATGAAATGATAAAATGATAGAAATGATAGAAAAAAAAATAATAATAGTAGATGGAATAATGAATGTACAGTCGTTTTTTATTCTTACACATATTTTCAATAAATTTGTCCAATGCTGCAAATTAAAGTCAGAGGAATTTATACATAAATCCGCTACATCTCAACATAACATTAGACAATCGAATTTTGTGAATTTCTGCACCTTCTTGTTTATTTGCTTATTTTTATATGCCAATTTTTATTTAATTTTTCTTCATTACTTTATCGAAATGTTTGAAAATAGCATTGTGAGTAGAATTTTTTCGGTAAAAAGAGCGATAATATTACATATTTCTGATTATAGAATGTATTAATGCTTTCTATCAACCAATACCGGTTTTCAACAATAATATTTTTTTCGGTTTCTCGCAAGAATCAATGATGATAGCATTCGAAAATCACATAATGATGTGATGTGATTTTTTCTATTGACCTCAGAGTTCTTTTTTTGCTTTGATAATCGAGTCAAATTTTGAGGTTCCAATTGTTATGAACTTCGCATATAATTTTTGAGTTGCAAAAGAGGTGTCAACATAAGTACAAAAGCATTTTCAGTCGTTTGGAGGATCATTCAGTGGAAAGTAAATTGCTAACACGAAATGGATCTGTTTCCCAATTGAACGTAATGAAAACATTACAGGTATTTATTTTTATGTTTAAATGACTTCGGCAAGAAGAAATCATTCCTATAATTCCTAAACGCCAACCTTCCCATATTTGAATTTTCCAAATGCCAGTGATGATAACGGAATACCTAAAATAACATGAAATTTCTAAAAATGAGATTTTATGGGATTTTTATTAAGTCAATTCTGATTTCGCCATAAAAATCATTGTTTATTTTTCTTATAGTAGAATGATTTTCTCAAATAAAATTGAAGTAGTTTAATGTCTTCATAGCTGGTCGAATAGTAAAATATAACGGTATTTTTTGATAAAGATTTTTGTTACACAGAACAGACCGTATTTCCTCCTAATATTATCTTTCATCACTTTTCGTTCCATTCGTCGTTGTTCATATCGATGTTGCATTGCAATTTTTGTTTCAATTATTTCTTTTGACCTTCGCACTTTTCTTGCATGTTCTATTTGCTAAGAATAATGGATGCGTACCATACAGAAATAAGTGAAGCAGTAGCATATTGCAGGAAATGTCATCCCAACGACTGCAATAGACCAATCGACTAAAATATCAATGATAGCTGATTAAGGCAGAGATATTGCTGATAGCAGCATTATAAATTTGTGATGAATATGAATAGCATTTGATCTGTTGAAATTTTTTAAGAAACTATTATTAAAGTTTCTCTTTGAGTCTTAAAATGACGAATATCTTATTCCAACAGTTGTCTTTTCGCACACTTCTTAACTGACAGTTTGGAAAGTTCCACTGATATTGCATACATTTTTGTGATGATTCGCACCAAAAACAGTTTTAAATTAATATTTATAGAGCAGTAAAGTAATATATTTCACAATATGCAATATACGATGAAAGTAGTGATTTTTATTTCTCACCATTCTTTTTTTAATTTTTAAATTGATAAATGGTGGTAGAGAAAAATAATATAATTCGAATTCTGGTGATTCTTAGAATCTGATGAATGCTAATTGTACTTGAACAGTAACTGATTAACTTTTTTTTAAACCTTGAAATGTTAAATATTGTTTTAAAATAGTAGTTAATTCTGTTTCAGTTTGTTACTAACTTTTTCAATACATTTCTCGCAATTTGATTCTTCATCATCCTCAATCTCACGTTTCACTTTTGTCATTTGCTTAACCAACACTTCATTTCTGCTAGCCTCTTCAAGTGGAATGGCTTTCAAACCAACGACCAATACATTTAATAACAGGTACATAATAATAAATACAGCATTATTCATTTCTTCAAGCAGGTATATATTCTTATCTCTCCAGTTATTCCTTAATCACTAGGAAACAGTCTTTCGCTGTTTTTTTATGCCAAATTCCAAAAATATAAATCCGACTTCCATATCATAGCGGAAAGAAAATATGAAATAAAGTGACTATTTGCGCAATCTTTGGGAAAGCTGGTTGGCACACAAGGAGATAAAAAGAATAAATTGGAAAGAAACCGTAAAGGAATGAGGAGGAATAGAAGTTTTTTGGTTCTAATTATCTGGACATGATAATGATCACTACTAAACAGTTTATTTAAGAATGCGTAATCTTTTTCTAGGTTTCAGCAAAGCTAATAAAGTTATGAAATGTTCTTCACACCGACTTCTTTCATTTACAGTAATTACGGCAAATCAAATAGATAAATTTGAGTCAAATAAAAGTCCAAAGATAAAAACTGAAAGGGAAAGAAATATGTTAAGAGGAGTTGCTTCTATTTCAACTGACATCAATGCGCGACGTCTCATTTTTTATGGAATTTGCATTTCTTGGTGTACTATGAATACGTACCGTACTTCGGTACGTATTCATAGTACATTAAGAAATGAATTCCAAAATATCCAAAGTTAATCACTCATTAGTCGAAATATAGCTTTTTCAGTTTCATGGTTTTGATTCTATTGATTAAATCTAATCTTTAAATTTAAACTTAATTTTTTCAAGGAAACTTGAAAAGAAATGAAAAGAATAAGACAAAGTCTGAATTAGTGTGCACTATAAAAATATATAACAGGAGACTAAAATTTATATAATTTATTTATCTTTGACTTTCTTCCTTGAAATAAAAGCTCAAAATTGCTCAAACTTTTGAAGCAAAAGGCTTTCACGATCTACTCAAGTTATTTCTGCAAAGAAAAAAAGCCTACCATCGATAACATTTGTCTCAAAACTGATTCTACAGCTTCCAAAAATTAAATTTCTATCACTTTCACCAATCATTTTTGAATCGCTTTAGAAAATATGTGGTTTTGTTATTTACAGAACTATATCCAATCACCTCTTCTGATTGCTTTGATTTTAGAGTTTGTATTTTAGCAAAACAAGCGCAAAATCATACAAATTACAAGAATGATAGAGATAGACTAATTCTTGTTTTTAATATCTATGTATTATTTTGAATTTACCAATATGAAAAACACGGGTAAAGCATGCTTTTGAAATAGATCAAATTCATGAAAGTTTTTCCATAATTTAATGCATGCGCCCAATTAATTTGATTTTTCACTCAAGAAATTATTCAAAAATATGTACATCATTTGCAAAAATAAAATCTTCACTTATTCACTTAGAGACTATTGAAGATGGTTTCTATCAGTTATCGATGATTAATCAAATTATAGCTCTGAAATGTTTAATCAAATTAGTGGTAAAGGATGTTAATTTTACATCTGGTTGAATCATAAAAAAGACATAAATATTTATTTAGAGCTTATATATGAATCTATCAACTATAAATTCATACTGACTACAAAAAATCGGCGAAAAAAAATAGGACCATCCAGCAAGCTTCAATCTTTTTATTTAATTGGAACTAAAACTATAAACACAAGAGATATAAGGATAAATTTATTTTGAGTTAAAAACTGTACAATAATCGCTATTAGTATAACAATGCTTTTTCTAAAGTGTTTCTTTTTGGTAGATTTATTTCAACGTGTTATTAATATTGATTTCATTATTAAAGATTTAATTTAAACTTCAATTCAAAACATTAACAGATTGGATGATTTGGATGAATAGTTCTTTTAGGCAAAATGTTTCATGTCGAAAGATTTTCTTTATTTAATCAACTGATTCTCATTTGGTATTCAGAAATTCTCTATAGTTTTCTATCATTTTGCACCCTTTTAGTCTTCAATAAGATAGAGAGTTTTAAGAGGATTGAGGAGTGGAAAGAAAGGGATAATTAAAAACTGTTAGAATGATGATGATTTTCTGGCTCTGCCTTTGAATAAAAGAAATATTTTTTTTAAAAAGTGATGATATTCGAATGAATGAGATAACACTGGCGTCCCTAATCTAGCATTAGTTAAATATTCTTTGTAGTTCATTAATAAAGTTAACAAACTTACAATGTAAATTTGTGCGGTGCAAAAGTCAAATAGCCAAATGAACAAAGTATAATTTATGTGAAGTAAAGAATAAATAATTATTTATATAAAAAAAGATAAAAAAAAAGATATGGATTGAGAAGTATGCATCAGAAAGGGGAAGATAGAAGTAGGGTAATGAATTCTTTTATGAAGATTATTTAAATTACTATCATCACTTTAATAATCTCAATAATTATTTCGAATTAAAATTCAATGAAGAATTTCCCATGTACAAGAAGATTTTGCAAGGTTTCTTAAGCTTCAAAATGTATGTGTGCTACCTGAAAATCACTGCTTTCTTTTGATTCGCATACCTTTTGGGTAATGCAACAGTAAATCTCATTTTGATGCATTCCTTGTTTAGTCATTTCACTCAGTTTTCCTATTAGCTAATCATTGATGAGTATAATTTGATTTATGAAAAAAGAATTGTTAAAATTATTTCAGTTACGCAGCATTGAATGTAATGGCAATCTGTTGCGTACATTTACAGTAAGAATCCTAACTTGCAGTAGCAGCTAAATTCATTATTAAACTTTTTTCGCTTTGAGCATCTGAATTCAGATTTCTGAAACTTCATTTTGTTTATCTGTTGGAAAGGCTTTGTTTCGACAACTAATACTTTTTTTAAAAAAATGCAAATCCTACCGTAATTTTTGAATCAATCTCTCAATTTATAAATCACTTTTGATTCGAAATTTAAATCAATCTAGAAAAGTTCGCAAAATAAGATGGCTCATTGTAACATTGTGTTTTGAAACTAATGAAAACACATTTTATATCAAAGAGCATGTTTTTTTCAAGTAAAAAAAAAAAATTTTTTTCTTAATCAAATTGCATCTAAAAGATGAATTCGAGAATGCAACCTTACTTTTGGCACCATAAATTGGCTGACTCTCATTCATTGATAACATTCTTCTAAATAAATGTTAATAGTTCTTGTTTTCCAATGTAACAATGAATTGTTCTGCAAAAAAATGATTGCCTTGTTCTGAATACATCCCAGAATCGTTCTTGTTAGCTTCTTTATAATGATTTTGTGGCATAATTTCTTTTCGACAATGATATTTGTCTCCGAAATATTGTAGTCGAATACTTATTTAGCAAATTGCTTCCGGCGAAAAAATTTCTCTACTTTCTGATTAATTATTAAAGCTAGTCAGACAAAAAACAAAGCACTGTATCACCACACAAAATTTTAACAAATATCCGTCGCTGATCATTCAGTGAGAAATTGGTTTATTTTGAAAATTTTTCATTTTTATTTCCTTTATGAAATACGAAATGAACCAATCGTCTTCAATGAAGAAGCAATATCTGCTTTAAAACAAGCGTTTAAAATGTCATGTGATAAAAAAATGTTATCAGCAAGACATGTGTCAATCATGAAAATATCTTTAAAAATTAGGTTATACTTTAACGATATCGTCACACATTTTAAATCTGTTTCACAGTGAAAATTTTCAAAATTTCCATTTTTGGAAATGAAGAATTAGTATTCATCCTCGATCGCATCAAATGAATCAGCACCAACTTCCTCATAATCCTTTTCAAGTGCAGCCATATCTTCACGTGCTTCCGAGAATTCACCTTCTTCCATTCCTTCACCGACATACCTAAAATAAAACTATGAATGGAGAAGTGCAGTATTCATTCAATACAATTATATATAATTAAAATTTCAAACATTTAATGAAAATATTTTACTTCACATTTTGCGTTATTAAAAAAAGGAGAATTACCAATGTACAAAAGCTCGTTTGGCGTACATTAAGTCGAACTTATGATCTAGTCTGGCCCATGCTTCAGCAATAGCCGTTGTGTTAGAGAGCATGCAAACAGCACGCTGCAATTTAGCCAAGTCACCTCCAGGTACCACAGTTGGTGGTTGATAGTTAATTCCAACTTTGAAACCTGTTGGGCACCTTGAAATAAAAAACCATATATTTAAATACTTGTTTTATAAAAAAGTTGAAAAAACAACAGAAACTTTAAAAATAATTTGAAGGAGCATCAATTAAATGGTAAAATGAGTGAGTAAGCTTTTAAGAGAATAAAATATACAAGCTGAACTATTCGATCACTGGTACTAACAAAAAAAAAATTTATTTATGAATCCAATCAATCAATCTGTCCAACAGACTATTAACAGACAGAGACTATATCAAGCTAAAATAAAATCTTACCAATCGACAAATTGAATGGTACGTTTTGTCTTAATCATCGCAATAGCTGAATTTACATCCTATAATAAAATGAAAAATCTGTAAACCACAAAAGAGAAAAATCTCACAATTCAACCGTCATTCTTTAAATTTCACCCTTGTATATAAATGTATAAAAGAAACTTAATGCCAACGTCTTCTGAGCCTCTTTAGAGGAAAATTATTGTATTGATACTGCAAGTACTACCGAATTCATATCCCTTTATTTTTATAAAAAGAGTCAATAAATTCTAAAAATAAATTCTAATTTACCAACCTTTGGCACGACATCTCCACGATAGAGCAAACAGCAAGCCATATATTTACCATTTCGTGGGTCACATTTTACTAGTTGACTACCCTGTTCAAAACATTTATTGGTGATTTCCGAAACCGATAACTGTTCATGGAAAGCTTTCTCACTGGAAAATTCTCATTTGATGAGTAATAATTAGTACACTGACTAAAAAAAGGAGGAAAACGAACGCTGAGATAATTGGTGAATAAGTAGCAAGTGGGAAATGAATTCGTGGATAGGGCACGAGATTTGTTTGAAACTCGGTCAAATCCACATTCAGTGCACCATCGAAACGTAGTGATGCTGTTATTGAGCTCACAATTTGTGCAATAAGTCGATTCAGATTAGTATAAGTTGGACTGAAAATAATGACTAGTGTGGAGAAACTGGAAAAAATTTTGAACTTTCAAGAAGAAAAATTTTCATTTCAAAAAAGATTGCCTTTTAATATCAAGGTTTTTTCGACAAATATCATAAATAGCTTCATTGTCCACCAAGAAAGAGCAATCCGAGTGTTCTAAGGTAGTATGTGTGGTCAGAATTGAATTGTAAGGCTCAACCATTGCTGCAAATAATTATTTAAAAATATCAACTAATGTTTCCTTCCTAATTTCTTCTATTTTATTATTCTTGCTTTGCTTTTATTACATTAGTGCTCGAGTTAAAAGATTCTTTATCGCAATACTATCATATTGCAAAAATTTCTATAATATCATTCTTTCTATAAGATGTATCTGTAAAACAAATATGAATAAGATACATTTGAGATTAAATTTTTGAACAAATTAAAAGGTACCTGTACTTATTTGTGGTGCTGGATAGATACTAAATTCAAGCTTTGCTTTTTTCCCATAATCAACGGATAGTCGTTCCATCATCAATGATGTAAATCCGCTGCCCGTTCCGCCACCAAACGAATGGAATATCAGGAATCCTTGTAAGCCATTACATCGTTCCGTTAGTTCTATAAATAAAATTTCGAACTCTTTCAATCTAATCAAAACTTTCAAATATTTAGCAACAGCAGTAGCACTAAGAAGTTTATTTAAAGGAAAATTTTGAATCTTCCGGTAATTTCACATATTAATAAACAGCCTATTAAGTCTAATAATTCAATCAAATCAAAAATTTTAACAGTACTTCGAATTCGATCCATGCATACATCAATTAATTCTTTTCCGATAGTATAATGTCCACGAGCATAATTATTTGCTGCATCCTCTTTTCCAGAAATGAGCTGTTCCGGATGAAACAGCGTTCTATAAGTCCCACTGCGCACCTCATCTTTAAAATTTCATTGACAGATAAATGATGACATCGTAAGTATTTGATGATAATCCGCACAATGCAAATAAATTTTTACTACCGCAAGTTAGAAAATAATTTACCAAAACTATTTGAAGAGCAAATAATGAATTACCAACGACGGTGGGTTCCAGATCAATGAATATTGCTCGCGGAACGTGCTTTCCTGTTAAAAAAAATGAGGTTAGAATAAGATCACAATCATAAACTGGTGAACATATCAATTCCCTTACAGATATGGTCCATGTAGTCATTCAACGGCAAAGTAATTTTTTCTTCAAAGATGATATTACCAGTAATAGTGTAATTCTTACTACAGAAAAATTAAAATAAAGTATTCGAAAAAAATCACCAGCTTGTGTTTCACTGAAGAATGTGTTATAAGAGCAGTCTTCAATACCGAGACTTTCATCGCTTGGTAGCATTCCGTCCGGTTGAACACCATGCTCCAGGCAGTACAACTCCCAACACGCATTACCGATTTGAACACCGGCTTGGCCAACATGTAAACTTATCACTTCGCGCTGTAAGTTCTTCAGCTTCTCAAACAGCTTTTTAAAATAATTAGCTTCACAACTCTTTGGATATATGCATTTACATAGAACTTTGATTTGTCATTCTTTTCAACTGATGTTTTGATTTTTACAGAAAAGAAAAGATAATAAAAAATATGATAGTTGCATTCTCGCAGATGGTATTAGTAAATAAGTAAAACAGATTGAGAATTAATAATACGATGAAGGTATCATCATTTAATCATTCATTTTCAATAATATTCTGCTCCTTTCAAGTTATCATGCAGATTGGAAACGAAGGAAAAGGAGGAAGAATGAGGGTAAAGTTAAAAACTAAATGACTCTTCGAATTGTTTATTCATCGAGGTCAATAATACTTCATTTTCTTTGGAAATAAAAAACAATCAAATAGAACGTTTCCACATGTAAAGTTAGTGAAGCATCTAAAAGTTGAATTTATCAGGCTTAACATCAATCAATCCGGCAAAACATCATAGTAATAATGATAGAAAAACCCACCATTTTCCCGCTCCGTGGCATACTTGAAATTTTTAAGTAGCTATATTTCAGGAAGAAGTCAAAAGTTTTTAAAGAACTGATGATTGATTTTTCAGTGAGTAGAAAAGACAGCCAATAGAAAAGTGATGCTGACTGACTATGATGAACTCAGTTATTACTACCACATGGAAAGAGATGTTTGGCGGTTAGCAAACCTGCTGCTTACTTTCGTTGCTATGACATTCCCAATTATTACATTTGTTAATCAGTGAACGAAACTGAAATCGCACCTTTCAGTGCCGATATCACTACTGCTAATAAAAAAAGATGAAGAAAGACATCTTCAGAGTCAGCAGGAAGAAATCACCATTTCACCTCAATTATATTATGCTGTCAATAAAACTTCCATCGCTGTTAAATCTATCAAATCAGTGATAGCAATAAATAGTTGCTTTAAAACTCTAAAAAGACTGGAAGAAGAAAATTATTGCATCTTAATAATCTTAACATAAAACAACAAAATTTGTTTCCTTACGAGCAAAAAAAGGTTGTACTAATTGATAAACTTTAAGTGATCATTTGATTGTAGCAGAAATTCTTGGAATGAATTAATCAATTCGTATTGATAAACGGGATGTAAATCCATTATTGATCACTATGCGATGAAAAATTGAGGAAGTAATAACTTTCTTTTTCATATTTGATAAAGTACTTTTCATGATTAATAATGACAGAAGGATCATATTCTTCAAAATTTTCTCATTTTTAAAAAATTATTTAGCTGCTTCGATTATTTTCATTTATAAGTATTCGACAATGATTAACTTTTTCATGCACTCAAAAAAAGAAATTTCATTCTGTCGTTGTTATCAGTACACAATAGCTATCGTCAATTGACAGTTAACAATCAGTACTCTGTAAATGACCACTAGGATGAGCTTGCATTAACGATGTTAAAGTCACTTTTGAGTTCACTGCAGGTCACATCTACTTTCATTTTTCTATCTCTTCGAATCAGTTGTCATTTCTTTCTGATTATTCTATTGCGGAATGATCTCCCTTGCCATATCAAATAATTTTACATACTTTTGGAATCAATGTGAAATTTTTTGTGCAATGAATGATATTTCTTATCAACCTACCATTATTATTCACTTTATAATTGTAGTACTTCCTAATAATCAATCTATCAATTTCAAACTATCCCAGTATCCATCGATTCATTTGCCAATAAAGGATTCAAAAATGAATCATTTATTAGAACGTCGAACATTGGAAGAGAATTACGATAAAGGCACATATTGCATTCTCTCGTACAGAAAGAGTGCGATCGTGTCCTTCTTAAGTTCTATACATGCCCTCTACCATTTCCGCATGACATTTTTCAAGCGGATCCTTTTTCATTCACTCCATTCAAAATATGAAATACGTTCCTTAGCACAAGAAAAATTACAACCATATGTAAAACGCTTCTTCCGTAATGTTAGCCATCAGACCATTCCACAGAATATGACCCTTATTTAAAACTCTGCTTAATCACAACGGACGCATACAATATTTGGAGCAAAAAAAGATTCCATATGCGTTGTTAACACAATTTAAAACTAACCCATCTAAGATTTCTATTTCGCAATTTAACAGCCAACCAAATAATTTATAAATGTTTTAAATTGCACTGTTAGAAAATATGATGTATAAAATACTTTTGATCCTTTTATTCTTGTCAATCATATTATTTCGTTTCTACCAATTATTGGCTGTCTACTTTTCCTTTCAATGTCAATTTTCCACTATTTTTAATTTTTTAATCCTTTACTTCTTCATAACCAAAAAATTAAAGTAAAAGTTCAATAGTTTTCAAAAAATCCGACCAATGACTTCACGTATTATATCAGAGGGAATTATGACGTTTCTAAACCATTCCGATAAAATTTTCATTACTCTGATGGCAATCCTTATTTCATTAGTATTCAAATCACTGTAACAGTGGTTCGAATGCTAATCAAATGTTTGGCTACAGAAACAATGAAAGTTCAACACGAATGAGAAATTACCAAACAACATATATTATACGACAACGGCAACAAATTTTAAGCAACTTCGATCAATTTGTATTCCAATTCATCGCTCCATATAAAGATTTCCTTCGGCTAACCTCCGTTTCACGCTTTTAAAGGGAGAAGCTGTTTGTGATTTAACGTTTTGATGAGTAAATAAGTTCATTTGTTTAATTTATTGTGTTCACATACTGGTTGGCTTCTTTTCGAACACACACACACACACATACACACACACACACACATAC